TCTCTCTCTCTCTCTCTCTCTCTCTCTCTCTCTCTCTCTCTCTCTCGTGTGCGCGCGCAGCGACATTTGCATCTGACAGGTCCTTAGTCCATAGTACTCCATACTCGCACCGGGATTTCTTTTCAATGTATCTGTCCGTCGCGGTGTATGTTCCTATGTTCTTGTGGAAGAGTCCTCATTTCGGACATTGGCAGGCTGCTCAGTTCATGCACACGTGAAACTGTTCAATTGCAGACATGAGTCCAAATCCAGCGGTGACCACAATAAAATAGTTCTGAATTACAAAGGATCCGACGGCGTGCTGATGCCTTGGCCAATGCCCCCCCGAACGCTGCACGTCCCTCATGTTCTAAAACAAACACCCTCGATCTCGCCTGGGGCAGATAATGGCCGTGCCTGACGTGGGGCTGGTGCTAGGCTGCGGCTTCACTTGTATACATAATAGGAACTGAGAACCTTCAAGAAAAAAAGTCAATAAATCGAGCATCAAGAACCGAAACACAACCAAAAGAAATAACAAAAACATGATATGGACATACATTCTTGCTCACCTGAATTTCTTCCCATTTCGTATCCACGGTGATCCGCCTTGACCCGTCCGCAGAAGATCTTGTGGCTTCCGTGAGTCGGTGGTCATTCCTTCGCACCGCCATACCTGTCACAATCCGGATTGCAATGGAGGAAAACATCAAGAGGGGAGTGGTAGGAGAGTGGTGGAGCATGAGGAAAGACAAGTCATAATTTGCGAGATCTCCACCTGCATTACGACAGGAATGCATTCCCACGATTTGCACAGCATAGAGGCATGAAGGCACATCGAGGCCCCAAAACAGAAGCAACGGCGGGGTTACACTGCCAGCACCCCCTCCCACACACTAACATAGGAGCAGAGAAGAGGGGTTCCACTGCCAGCTCACCCTCCGCATTCTGAAGCACACCACTGTGTACTGGTGTGGTATACTGCGCATCCACACGGGCCTCCAGGGCACGACCAGACGGAAAATAAGGCCCCTCCAGGCCCTGTGTCGTTTCAGCCTAAAAGCCTGAAAACGAGGGCCATTTTCAGGGCCTCATTAAGTCGACCTGCCCTGAAACTCAGGCACCAGACCAGGGTTTAGCACAGGTCATTTTTGGGCCTGTTTCAAGACAACCTTTGTTTGAACTTCAACACCAGGTTCTGGCACGTTTCGGCATTGGCAAGAGCAGCCTCCCGGACAGGCCAGCACTATATAGTACTGGCCCGCCCTGCAGGCTGCAGGTAGTTCACGAGGACTTCCCAGGTAGTTCACGGGCACTTCACGTGCAGGAGGCAGGAGGCAGTCGTCAGGATTCGGCAGCAGCACTCTGGAGGAGTGCTGCAGTAGTAGTAGTAGCGTTAGGAGTAGCCTTCAGCGCTGGGTGCTATTAGGAGCTTAGAGAGAAGCGTTGGAGAGAGAGAGTTGGTGGAGGCCAGGGAGACTTACCTGCAACGCCATAGCTCCAGCTTCATCTTCGATGTACCTGCAACAAGGCGCCACCTTCACAGGTTAGTACCGGAGAGAGAGAGAGAGAGAGAGAGAGAGAGAGAGAGAGAGAGAGANAGAGAGAGAGAGAGAGAGAGAGAGAGAGAGAGAGAGAGAGAGAGAGAGAGAGAGAGATTGGTGACTTTGGGACTTTACGACATTTGGATTCAGACCCGACTTTGGGATTGAGACATTGGACGAAGGATTATTTGGTTGGGGCCTGTATCGAAGACTTGGTGTTGACGACATTCCCATCTTCCCCCTCTTCTTCGTGCGACCCCCTTCTTCTTCGTCTGTTTGGGGACTGGCGCTTTCTTCCTGTGTGAGCGCCAGGCCCCTCCACACCATGTGATGATGATGATGTATGATTGGTCTGCATTGCGACAATGATTGGTCTGATCATTGGTATTATGGTCCTTGGCTGCGCTATCCTGTACTATGTGAGAGAGGTTGTTCTTGTTCTGCTCTGTACCGTTACGGTATGCAACAGTTTGGTATCGGAGCGGACCTCTCAATCAGAGGATCCACCCAATCAAGGAGCCAGCTTGCTTGATCGACTGATTGCTGAATGATTAATTGATTGATTGATTGATTGACTGTTTATTAGTGAATCAAGTAGGGCTTCGTCAAATCTCTGCAAAATTCTTTTTTTTTTTCTTTCTCGCAACTTCGGATATTAGCATTTCGTTTCTGTTTCACTCTGGGCATATTAGGTGAACTAGGGAGGTTGTCATATTCTCGGACTGGATCTTTTCTTCTCTGAAAGTGGAACCTCAAGTCTATTTCGCGCGCAAAAAAAAAAAAATCAAGATCACAATTTTTTTTTAAACCGAAACTTTGCGAAACCTTGCCTAGATCTCGCTCATAGTACTCCTCTGTAATACCTCACTGATAGCAGATTGACAGATATACAAAAAAAAAAAAAGAAGGGGGGGGGTTATCCTCTTCTTTTATTTTTTACTTCTATTTTATTCTGTTAATTAGGACCGGGAATGGAAAGTGCAGTTTTGTTACATTTCTACGTTTCCCTCCCACCCAGCCCTTTGTCTGCATTCCCGTTTTGGTGAGTGCCACGTCAGCAGTGCCACGACAGTCGCAGTGCCACGTCAGCAGTGCCATGTCAGTAGCAATGCCACGTCAGCAACAGTGCCACGTCAGCAGTGCCACAACAGCAGCAGTACCAACGTCAGCAGTGCCCCGCCACCATGATGGTTTCAGCTTTGGGCATTCCAGGCCAACTGGCCAACGAGTCCATTGCCGAGTACCGACAGCGGTTCCAAGCTTAGCTCGCACTGATCGAGGCTGAGGAACAGCACCAGGCGGCAGTCGAGGCTGCCCGCCTACAGGCTGAAGCGGCGGCAGCAGCTGAAAAGCAGCGGCTTCAGGACGAAGCTAACGCAGATGCCCAGCCCCACCGCAAGGAGGCCCAGGATCTGCTGCCGCGGCACGAAGCCGCCAGCGTCGACAAGCTCAAGTTCTGGTATTTTGAACCATCCGAGAGCCACGAAGACGCAACACCGGAAGAGCAGCACAAGGAGTTTGTCGCCAAACTCGTGACCCGGCTGGTTTACACTTGTAACCACCTGCAGTCCGAGCTGGCGAATCTCCAACGGACAGTGGGGAACCACAAGGATCTGCACGAGGATGCTACACGGGCACTCAATTCCCGTGTACAGGACTTGGAGCAAGCAGTACCAGGACCAGATGCTGGCGAACCCAGCAGTGCAGCCTCAACCCGCCAATTGGAGGAACGAGTTGACCATGTAGTCGCAATGCTCAGAGACATCAGCACCTTGGCCGCACCAGCCGCCGTCAGCGAGCATCTCGGCACCTTGCAGACCAAGCTCTGGCAGCTACACCAGCCGCCCGACAACGATGGCAGCACCAGTGCATCGCGGCCATACAAGATGCCGACTTTCTGGATCGAGAAGTTTGACGACTATACACATCAGGACCCAGTCATCTGGTGGCAAGGCTTTACGACGGAGCTTGGGATTCACGGCATCCCCACTCACTTGTACATCTCGGCGCTTCCTCAAAGCCTAGGGCAGATGCCAGATCTGGCTCAGCCACATGGCAACCATCCACAGCGTCCAGGTCTCCGATCTGCACAAAAAGATCTCCTGGGACGAGATGACGAGGGAATGGAAGAAGCGGTTTATTGTCGACGACGCCCCGACGCTCGCCATTAACCGCCTCTTCGGCATGACTCAAGGCAACACACTGACACGCGCTGGCTCACAAAATGGCAAAAGATCGTGACAACACCCGATCTTGACTTGCCATTTTCGCATCTGCGTCGGGAGTTCTACAACCGGTCGTGTGTTGCCTTGAGCCTCGCACTTGGTGATCAAAGAACAGTACACGACCTTCGTCGAAAGAACAGTACATGACCTTCGTCGAAATCATCGACAAGGCGTGTGAGATCATCAAGAGCAACCGGGCTGCTGCACACGAGAAGTCAGCGTGGCAGCCAGCCTATGTGGTCCGTGTCCACAGCAAGTTGCTGCAGTCCAACCGGACAACATTGTGGAAGACCCGGCAGCCACCCCACAATCACGTGAGGGAGATCAGGTGGCCGCCGTCCAGCCGTGAAGCAACAACAACTCCCGTATCAAAGGGAAGGCGAAAACAGCATCGCCGGCCGGAAATGGACAGCCAGTACCATGGGTAAGGTTAAACTAGACCGAGACCGAATACAAGTACCGCAACCGATACGACTGCTGGTATTGGTGCAACAACACCAAGCACAAGACCTCCCAATGCCAGGATCAAGGCAAGGAGGATGTTCGACCTCGAATCAGCTCGGGAAACTGAGCTGCGCGGGACGTGAGGCGACTCCACCTCTCACTCCGCCAGATTCGGCCGCCTCGCTAGCGGCCTCCTACACATCTGGGGAGAATGCGGATGTCGCGAGTCCTCGGTTCACTTACGAGGATTACRCTGTCCACTTGGTCCCACTGTTGGACAAGCCACTCCACGTGCAACAATCCACCATATATGCACGGTTTCAACACCATTGGCAACCGATTCGGCAGATTCGCCGCCAACTTTCGCCGGGGATTCGACGTCATGGTCAAGACTTGAGAGACTCGACCCGTTAACGTTCACGGACTTCCAATGGATGCCCCTTCCCCAGACCGGTCGATTGCCAAAACCTCATTGCAACGTGCTCATGGCACAATTGCGGGATTACTTGCACAATGCAGTACCAGCTCCGCTGATGGACGTCGGAGTAGAGGTTGTTGACCTTCACGACTACATTGCGAAGATCGACTGCGAGTTCCAGACACAACGGTACGACAACATTGACGCGCCATTGTTGTACATACGCATTTTGATCAAGGAGGCGACCTGCAGCGCTTTGATCGATTGCAGAGCTAGTTGCAACTATATCAGCCAAGACTTTATGGTACGAGCTGACCTTGGGCCACACTTTCGGAAGAAGTCGCAGCCCACGCAAGTCACGTTGATCGACGGTCAAACACACAAGTCAATCGACCGGTGCATGCAGCAAGGTTGTGTCCTTCGACATTTTGGACACCCAGTTCGACATGATATTGGGCATGTCATCGCTGCGAAGCGAGGATCACCCGGTGAACTTCTACCGCCGCACCGTTCACGTTCGTGATCGTAACGGAGTACTCGTCCCATGCATGGTGCCTCCACCTCACCCTTCGATCAACTGCCACGTGGTGTCCACCGCAAGCATTCGAGCTTCCATCACCAGGGACGACATCAAGTAGACGGGGGTGCGTTTTCTCCACGCCCTCCCTCCCCATGACATCCCATTGACGGACCCACGCATCACCAAGCTTCTCGACGACTACGGCGACGTGTTCGAAGCCCTGCACGTAGTAGTACCGGATCGGCCCATCCGCCACGAGATCATCCTCGAGGCCGAGGCCGTACCTCCGCGTGGTAGCATCTACCGCATGAGCCAGGAAGAGTTAAGTGTGCTAAGGGCACAACTCGACGACCTTCTTGAGAAAGGCTGGATTCGGCCTAGCTCCTCGCCATACGGTGCTCCCGGTCTCTTCGTCCGGAAGAAGAATAGGACTTGTGGTTGTGCATCGATTATCGCAAGCTCAACGCGCAAACCGCCAAGAACGTCGGCCATTCCAAAGGTGCCATTCGTATTCGATAACGACGC